CATTGTATATTCTCCCCTTACTAGAGAGATTGCCAGGGAGAGCAGATCATTTGTATGTAGGCTTTCTCCTCCAGGACTCAAACCCAGCTATTACGCATGCAATGACAAAATTCTGTGTTGCTGCAATGTCTACAAGAAAATAATTGGTTACAGAATTATAGCTGTCAATTTGTGCCAATTTTTGGAGATAGAACCATCTTTGAAAAATGATATTTACACACACATTTATTGGCTCTCCACTCATATAAACCAGGGAGTGACCCTAACTGTTTGAGAACATGTATTTCTTAATAGAGATGTTTTTATCCACTATTAATGTATTATAATGTGTCAGCACTATTTTTTTATATATTGTAATAGTGATGTCTATTGCTGGTCTAAGACATTAATAAAGTTCTATTCTATTCTATTCTATTCTATTCTATTCTATTCTATTCTATTCTATTCTATTCTATTCTATTCTACTCTGTCTCTCCTCTGTGATCTACAGCCTGTTACAGCTGGCTTTTGGAGATCTCCATTTTTTTTAAAAAAATTGAAGTCCTCTCTGCTTAGTTACATATCCTTTTCATGCAGGTCCTCTCTGGTGCCTCTTGCAAGCAAACGGGGATCATGATCTCCAGAAATTTACAGCACCTTCCAAATCCAGTTCTGCTACCCCTTAATTCCTTGTGCAAAGCTCAAAATAAATTAAACGAAAGGCCAATCCTACTTAAAATTCAGGCTTCCTCCAGGGCTGCCAATTTACAAGTGAATTCAATAGTCGTTAAAACTCTAAGATAGCAAATATTAAAAGGGAATTAGCCTCCTTCGTCGAACACTTTTAGAAAAAAAAATCATTGCTAACTCCTAACTTAACAGTGTTTGACGCTGCTCTATGTTTGTTCTTCCTTAAGTCCTAAAATCATAGGCTAAGGATGTTTAACTCCAAATTCAAACGTTGTTTGTTTGGGGAAACTTGGGTGTTAGCTAGTCACTTCCTGTTCTGACAGGCCCTTTTCCGACAAATCAAACACAATCCAAAAGGAACAGAACCTTGTAATGCTTTTGCAAAATAATTAGCTGTGATAAGCACAAGCCTTGCCAAACTGTACGAGGCTTGCCAAAAGATAACAGACAAGAAATAATTTGCAATACGAGAATCTTCAAATACAAACTCAGGATACTGGAATGTCCACGAGGCTGGAGTCTCAAAACATCTTTGCCTTCTGCAAAGTACGTTTGTTTCACAGCTGGCTTTTATCTTCTTGAAGGGGGGGGCATTACCTTGCAGCCTTACTCCTGAGTCACCCACGCTGCTGTAGCTGCTCTCTTCTACGAGCAGTCCTGCGCGCATGAGCACTTGGCACAGGCTCCTTGGGAACCTCCTCATCGCTGCTGCCAGCCCCCACAATCTCTGAAGGCAGCAATCCACTCCCAAATGGTCATGGCCCCTCATCTGAGTCCTCGCTCTCCTCAGCCATCCGCACCTGCTGCCGGCTAACCACAACACTTCCTCAAACTGCGGCCAAAGAATAAGCAGAAATTTGAAGCAACACAGTTCATGTTTCAGAAAGCAGAACTCTGCTTGATGGAAACTGCCCTCTTTTTCCTTAACCAGCACATTATTTTTATGGCCGACGCCTGAAAAATTGCTTCCCTACTAAAATTCTGTACGGCTGTACTTTATAGGAGAGACGTTTCCAGCTATCAAATTCTGAGTTCATGAACGCTTGGGCGTCTTCATGCAACATTTCAGTTGAAAAAGGGGCTATCAGACACCTGGTCTTTGACTAGGAATGATGCAGCTGAAACTAGTTGGTTTTCAATTCTTATTACTACGAGGGGTCAGGGAGCACCGGCGTGATATTTTCACATTTCAATCAAAGGGTTCTTACGAGCAAGCCTGTCCGTTGATTTCAAGTATTAAAAGTTCTTGCATGTTCTTGCACGTCAATAAACGGGTGTCTACATGTTGCAAAGGAGACTGTTTGGGGTTGCTCCTGTTTTCGTGGAGATGGTTGGTTCAATCACAATTGCAATTTTCCACATAGCAGGCTTAGCAAATTGCCATCAAAGGGTAGTAGTGGAAATTGCTGTAGATGTTTTCAGGCAAACCTTAAACGGGGATTAATTCAAGGACGAGGCTCAGCATAAATTTCAATTCAACTTTTAGTAAGGAAACGCATACAATGAGTTGCAAGCAACATGGGATTAAGGATCTCAGCTAGTTGAGAAGAGGATTAGAAGAATGGTCTTCCTGATTCCTGAGAAATTATGAAGCACACATCTGAAATTACTCTTGGAATAACAGAGTTGGAAGGGATGTTAGAAGACTTCTAGTCCAACTCCTGACTCAACAATCCTCTCAACAAATTGGCTGCAAACACTCAATACATCTAACGAAGGCAGCTTTAGCTTTTGCAACTTCCAAGAAAGAGTTCATGAGAAAGGATGCTACCAAATGCATCGAATGAGATCAACTTTATCTAACAGTAGTAATCTATCCAAATTTGCATTATCTACCTGGATTGCCTAAATTCTCCAGAAGGATTCTGGTATAGCATCCTTTCTCACTAACTCTCTCTTGGAAGTTGCAAAAGCTAAAGCTTCCTTCATTAGATGGGTTGAATGACTACACTAAAATAGGATTTACACTGGGATGAGTTGCTAAGTTAGGCATGTTCTGGATTGAATCTACATGTATTACACTCCAAGCACCTAACCTTACATTTATAAAAGCAACAATTTGTTTAGGAACACAAAATTTAAGATGTAAACCGTGAGCTCTTTCCTACAGTCAACACCCTCTCTCTTTTCCCACTCCAGTTAACTCCTAATCCTAACTCTTAGGATTTAAAGGGAATCATGGTGAGATAATTCCTCCAAAGGGTCTCTTTTTTTCAGTCCAAAAATGAAAACAGCCAATAAAATCCTAATGATTTATATGGAGCATTGAGACGGACCCTTTGGTTCAAGAATTGAACGTGACCTCAAGCAACACTCTTGACGTGCAAAATACATCTTCCTCGCCATTCTAAAAGTGAACTTGACATGGGTAATAAATCTCCTTTTTCTTCTTATTTAAGAATGACAAGTTTTGGAGATCAGGTGGAGAAAAAGCTACCTTTCTCTAGCTTGTTACAACTTCCCCCCTACCCAACCTTGGAAACCGACTCCATAAATAGCTACTGCAGATGAAGACCAACAGTGGTAATTTCAGATCTTAGTGCCTTCTGGCTAAAAGTCTGTCTCTCATAACAGACAAGGCTGCCATCTAATGGACCATCAATGAAAGGGGGAAAAAAAACACCCAACCGGCTTGCAAAGAATGTTTTAAACAGATGCTACACATGGAAATCCCATGTTTGGTTTGACTGCTTCAAAGAAGAATGAACTTGAAGATCTTAAGAGGTCTGAGTTGTCCTTGTAGGACATCGTAATACATCTTAACATATACACTGCATACTTGGGAAGCCTCCCTTAAAGGGATCCTTTCTATAACTATGTTCCTGAAAGACAATTTTGCACAAGATTCAAAAACAACAGAAACTTAAAACAGAAAAAGAGAGAGAAAGAAAAAGAAAGGAAAGAATAAAAGAAAAAGGCAAAAGAAAGATATCTAAAGAAGTGATTTTCAATCTTTTTTTTGCAGCGGTTACCAACATCAGAATTACTATCTCTACCTTCCCAAATGATATATCCTGATTGCCTTCTTCCCCTAAATGACCTCTTTTGAAGCAATGACTCCTATTCGTTTTTATCCATTGGCAGCAAAAAGTCCATAAAAGGTTTCCAATCATTCAATTATGGTTAAGACAAAAAGTCCATAAACGGTTTTCAATCATGAGGCATGAAGACCACTGGCAGTTAATGCTCCAAGCAGCAGGTGTCCCAAAGATGCTTTTGACAAAAGGCAACTGGGTTTTCTTCTTTTATTTTTCCCTTGAAAATGTTTCGCTTCTCATCCAAGAAGCTTCTTCAGTTCACCACTTGGATGAGAAGCAAAATGTTTTCAAAGAAAGAAAAACCAGAAAGTGCCTTTTGGAAAAAGCACCTTTGGGTCAACCATGAACTGGGTGATGGTGTGATGACCCGGAGTGTAACACAAACGTCACAAAATCCAAAACGTAAATAAATGTCCTTTAATGCCTCCAACTTGGCCCCACTGTTCAATAATGCTCAGCTGGAGATAAAACTTATTCAATAATAGTCTTCAAAAGAAAGCAATACAGTCTGAACTTAATGAGCAGATAGAGGCGAAATAAAAAAACACAAAACAAACTACAATGAAGGAAATGCCACAACGGACCAGGATACGGAATTACCAACTTCAAGGAGATAACAAGGCACAGTCTGTTGGAAGGACACCAACCAAGGTAACTTCAGCCCAAAATAACACACACTTTGCTTCTGGCAATGCTGTGTTGTAACCGTCTCTCTTATATACTATTCTCCCCAGCTGCAACCAATGAGGGGGATCATGGCCACTTCCTCTCTCACAAGGTAACTTGTTTCCTTCTCCATTCCTCCCTGCATGTCCTAGGATGAAGAGGGGATGGGCCTGGTTCTTCCTCTGACTGCCCAGCCAGCCTCTGACCTTCCCCAGCCTCCTCCACAACCTCCGGAGCCACAGCTCCATTCCCTGTCAGCTGTTCCTCCTCTCCCTCAGAGTCCGACTCTAACAAGGGCATGACAGAGGGAGAATCTCCATAGACAAGCAGCAGCTGGGATTTTTAGCAATGGCACGGGTACAAAAATGAAAATGAAAATAAACAAAACATGGCCGCTCACATGGAAGTTGAAGGGAGGAGAAAAGAGCTGGGCAGATGTTCTGGAACCAGCTAATTCAAAAAAATTTTTGGCGAAAGTCCTCTGAAGATGTTCTCCACCCGCTCAACTCCAGGAAGTTGTCCTAACATCTGCCATCCTCCAAACCATTTGACTTCACTTCCTGTTTTGGAGAATTGTCTATTTCCCCTGCTCAGTCATGCAAAGTTTTGGAAGGCAAAATCAGGCACTTCATACGCTGGAATTGGAGACCAAGGAGGGATCATTTTTATCCTTCAAAACTTTAGAATAAAGAGCTTCCACGTTTTCTCCTTGTTGCATGCTAGGAGCTGGCTTGCTCTGCTGTGAGAAACACACTGCAGAGGGGGCTTCCCCGGGACCTGTGGCTAGAGAATAAACCATGTCTTCTGCATTTAGGTCGTTGTGGCTGGAAACGGCGTACGGGGAACCTGGAAGCCAGTGGGAAGGAAGGACAAATATTTTTTCATTTTTATTTTTAATGTAAATTTGAGGCTGCAACCTGACTAGGTGAATGGAAGAACGAGCTGGTAAACCTGTATAAAACAGGTTAATGTATTTTCTGAACATTTTAATAACAAATTTTCTGAATTTGTATTAAAAGAAACCTTTTGCCTGTATGGTATTAGCCGATGCTTCAGGGAATTGTCAAAAGATAAATAGGCCTTGAATTCAGCACTGATTATATCCATTAAGTGGGCCTGTGAAATATCTCAGTATTTACATCCCAAATATTGAGGATATGATGTTCGTTTCAAAACCACCCTTTGAAATTAAATGTAATGGAAAGAAGAGTTGACTTACAATCTTCTGTTGCCACTGTAGTCTGGTCCCTAAATAAAACAGATTATTTTTAAATCATTTCAGGGTAAAGGGGGGAAAAAATACAATTTCTATTCAACGGTGCGATAGGCAAATACCTTTGTTGATTTTCCAGTGGCTTTCCTGGAACGAAATATAATAAATATATATATAGTGAATTTTGTATATTTGAACTGCTTCTTCCCCAAACTGCAAGGTTTGACACCACCCTGGTCAAATCCTTCCTGGTTACCTTTTGCTTTTGTCTTGCGACACAAGAACAAAATTATCCCACCCATCAGAATCAAGGCTGCTGCGATGGCTGCTAGGCTGATTTTGAGGCCAACGTTTGAGCTTTGTAGCGATGCTTAAAAAAAAGAGAAATGAAAAATTCATACGAGATTAGTCTGAAAGGGGAAATGGACCCTTCAGGGCACGTTTTAGGAAGCATCGTTTCCAATCGCTGACATGGGAAAATATCTGAAGCAGAACGCCATAGAAGAAAAACAGTTATAACTCGGGGTTGAACTGGCGGGGTCCTTTGTGCTCTCTGAGCTTGGCTGTTTTCTTCTAGACATTTCATGACCCAACTAGGTAACATGATCAGTGCCAGAAGAGAGTGGAGCTGGTGAGGAGGAGGAGGAGGAGGAGGAGGAGGAGGAGGAGGAGGAGGAGGAGGAGGAGGAGGAGGAGGAGGAGGAGGAGGAGGAGGAGGACAACTACTGTGGGGTTCTTGCTGCTCTCTGAGCTTGGTTGTTTTCTTGCAGACATTTCATGACCCAACTAGGGAACACCATCATTGCTAGAAGGGAGTTGCAGGGGGAAGAGGAGGAGGAGGACTGTGGGGTCTTCAGTGCTCTCTGAGCTTGGTTTTGTTTGAGCTTGCAGATGTTTCATTACCCAACCAGGCAACATCACCAGTGTTAAAACGGAGTGCAATTTACTCTCACCAAAGCAAATGCAAAACACCTCCTTGCCCACAATCAATACCCAGATAAGCAGCGACCAACATCAAGGTTAAAAGTAGACCAAGAAGTCAACAACACCCCAGTGAAGGAAGTACCAACTCAGGACAACTAGCTAACAGTGAAGAAAAACATAAACAAGGAATCAGCAAGAAAACTGATACTGACAGGACAAGCCACTGTATAAAATAGAGAGCAAACCTCACTCTTTTCTAGCACTGATGATGTTACCCAGTTGGGTCATGAAATGTCTGCAAGGAAACAGCCAAGCTCAACGGAGCACCAATCAGCCCTCATAGTCAGAATTGGTGCGATGCTCAGTTCTCACCCTTTGTAACTCACCTTTCCTCACGTTCACAGATATCCTGCGTTCTATTGTCCATGTGTATCCTCGATTATAAGCGGCCACTACACAAAGGTAGTCTCCATTGTCGGCCATGGTGCTATTGGTGATTGTAACCACATAGGTCTGGTTTTGAGGTGAAATTGTGCTATTGATTCGTCGGCCTCTGAATGCATCATCAATACAGCAGTTGATATCGTAGAAGACGGTTAAGGCAGAGTAAGTGCCTTCATTTGAAGCCGAAAAGAGGCACTTGCTTGGTGTGGTTCCTTTAAACCAATACACAGCGAAAGTGGTTGTGTTCTTTCCCAGTTCAAACTCACAAGAGAGAGTAAAGTTTTGTTTTTCCTCAATGGAGACGTTTTCCTCTGCTTTCCTATGAATGTTTTCAGAACGCTGCTCTGCAGTGCAATTGACAAAAAAAAAGGTTGAGATTAGAGGCATGTTTTTGTTAAGTTATGGACCCACAACATTTTTGTCTTATTTGCTGTGGCCAGAGGTGGTATTCAGCCAGTTCTGACCGGTTCTTGAGAACCGGTAGCAGAAATTTTGGGTAATTTGGAGAACTGGCAAATACCACCTCTGACTGGCCCAGCCCCCATCTATTCTCTGCCTCCTGAATTTCAGTTGATAGGCTGGGCCTTCTTTGGTTGTCCTGCACAGGAGAACGGAGCTGGAAAGCAGGTCAGTGGGATGGGGAGCAGAGGTGGTTATTCAGCAAGTTCTGACCAATTCCGGAGAACCAGTAGTGGAAATTTTGAATAATTCGGAGAACCGGCCAATGCCACCTCTGACTGGCCCCGCCAACCCCATCTCTTCTCCGCCTCCCATTGAGTCCCAGCTGATTGGCTGGGTCTTCTTTGGTTGCCCTGCCCAGGAGAACGGAGCTGGAAAGCAGGTTAGTGGGGTGGGGAGGAAATGGGGATTTTGGAGTAACCTTCCCCTGCCACGCCCACCAAGCCACACCCACAGAACCAGTAGTAAAAAAAAATTGAATCCCACCACTGGCTGTGGCACTTTGCATCTTACCGTTGGGGTGCATTTTCTTCGATCCCAGGATCCATTTTTTTTTTTCCATTGCTGTTTTGCAGGTTGGTGTAGTGCTTCGTCTTATAGCAGGGGTCCACAACCTTGGCACCTTTACGACGTGTGGACTTCAAGTCCCAGAATGCTGGCTGAGGAATTCTGGGAATTGAAGTCCACATGTTGTGGCCAAGGTGAGAGAACCTTGGTCTTATAGGATATCATTCTTCCTTTATGGTTGGCCTCTGTGTGCAAGTCTGATTTAACTTGTAAACTCTCTAGCTGTGGGGTCCTTGCTTCTCCTCTTCCTCCTCCTCCTCCTCCTCCTCCTCCTCCTCCTCCTCCTCCTCCTCCTCCTCCTCCTCCTCCCCCGTGACTTTCCTGCAAACATTCCCTGCAAATATTTCATTACCCAACTAGGAAACATCATCAGTATTGATGATTACCATCAAGGCACCTGTATATAAATAGAGAGCAAACTACACTTCCTTCTGACGATGTTCCCTAGTTGGGTAATAAAACATCTGCCTGAAAACCACGATGCCCAGAGAGCACCAAAAACTCTGCAGGTCAACCTTGAGCTACAAATTTTCTGTTAAAATCCTCTAGTTGGTTCCCAAAATGCACGCAACTAAATCTGGATCTCTAAACCAGACCTCTTCAGCAGATCTGCAGAGTCAAATAAATCAATACTTTTTAAAAAAATCCTCAGGTTTAATTTCTATTACAGCGAACATCAACACATATACCTTGCCTCCGCCGTAGCTCTTCTGTCATTTCTAATTGCAACGGGGGGGGGGGGGGGGCTCAGACTGAAACCTTTGAGGGTGGCTGATCTCAATCATCAAAATGACTTGGACTTCTTGCCAAAAAAAAAATTCAAAAAACTTCTCACCTTTTGGGCTCTTTATGATTGCAACAACGAAGAAATTGAAATCCGTGCAGTTCTCTTTTGAAGTAAATACAGGGTTTGCGTTTTGCGGGATCGGAGGGGTTTTGCACGCAAAAATTCCACCACGGTGGAAATTGCTCCAGGAAAGATTGTTGGGGCAGTTTTCGTGCTTATTTTTTGACGAGGAAGGACTGTGGCTCTCATTTTGATACCCGCACCACCTTTCGAATCTTTGCAGAGAGCTATTGTGCTGCCCGGCCCACCAAGCAACATCGCCTTGCCCAAAGGATGCATTGCAGTTTTGAGTCGTGGGTATAGTTTCATACTGGAGAAAGAAGGTGGCACCTGAGGGAGGAAAAACAGAGATGGACAGACAGAGCAAGCCTGAACTCCTGCCAGTCTCCAGTATATTCCCCCTTTCCCCCCCCCCCCGCCCCTCCCTCCATGGATCAGTTCAATCACTCAGAATAGAGCTGCAAGGGACCTTAGAGGTCTTCTAGTCCAACCCCCTGCTCTAGGAGGAGACCCTATGCCATTTGAGACAGCTGGCTGTCCAGTCTCTTCTTAAAAGCCTCCAGTGATGGAGAACTTGCAACTTCTAGTTAATTGTCCTCACGGTGAGCAAGTTTCTCCTAAATTCCAGGTTGCTTCTCTCCTGGATGAGTTTCCATCTGTTGCTTCTTGTCCTGTTTTTAAGTGCTTTGGAGAATAATTTGACCCCCTTCCCCTTTCTGGCAGACCTTCAAATATTGGAAGACTGCTATCATGTCCTCCTTGGTCCTTCTTTTCTCTAGACTAGCCAGACCCAGTTCCTGCAACTGTTCTTCACATGTTTGAATCTTCAGGTCTTTAATCATCCTAGTTGCTCTTCCCTGCACTTTTTCCAAAGTCTCAACATCGTTTTTGGGGAGCGTGGTGACCAAAACTGGATGCAGCGTTCCAGGTGTGGCCTTACTAAGGCTTTATAGGGTGGTCTTAGTACCTCCCTTGATTGTATCCCTCTGTTAATGCAATTTAGGATTGCATTGGCTTTTTTGGCGGCAGCTGCACACGGCTGGCTCATTCCAAATAAAAATGCAGCAAGACCCCTTAAGGAGAGGCTGCGTCTTCCTCTTTGGCTCCAACTGCTTCCTGTAGATCCCACATCCTGAATTCCACTCCGTGACAAATTCCCAGTAGGAAAAAGAGACCTTCCCCACCCACCCACCCCACCCACCCAAGGAACCAAAGCAGGAGGTGGGATGAGAGCCCCTACCTTCAGCTTCTCTGAGCAACAACAGGAGAGGCAGGAGGCAGTGCGAGATCCTGGCTGCTAAACCAAACATCTCTTCGCTTCTCGTCTTCGTTCAGATCTCGAAAGCTTGCTTGAGTAAAGCAAGAAAAGGGGAAGTTGTGCCTTCACTGAAGGCCAGGAGGCCAAAAATAGGAGCAAAAGGAAGTGCACGAAAGCTCAAGAAACTGAAATGTTTATTCCGCTTTGAAAAAACGCCGAGGGGCTGGCATCATCACCACGCCCATGTTCTTTAGAAGAATGGAAGTCAGAACCATTGTCTGCTATGAGGAGGAGGAGGAGGAGGAGGAGGACTGTGGGGTCCTTAATGCTCTCTGAGCTGGATTGTTTTCTTGCAGATGTTTCATTACCCAACTAGATAACATCATCAGTGCTAGAAGGGAGTAGAGATTGCAGAGAAGAGGAGGAGGAGGAGGAAGAGGAAGAGGAGGAGAAGGAGGAGGAGGAGGAGGAGGAGGAGGAGGACTGTGGGGTCCTTATTGCTCTCTGAGCTGGATTGTTTTCTTGCAGATGTTTCATTACCCAAC